AGAGCTGTTCATTCTCGGAATTTATGGACTACAGACCAGAAGTTGATAACAACAGGATGCAAAATTGAAGGCCAGGATGAAAGATTGTTTTTTCCCTGTTTGCCTGTTGCATTCCCAAGTACCGTAAACCAGGCCTGGAGCCGGGTGGGGCGTGGTAGGGCTCATCAAATGGACGAATGATATTAAAGACAAACAGCGAAGGTGTGTGAAACTAAGTTCTCTGTACAATATGTGAACATTGTCCATGTCTGGAAACAAGAGGGACAGGGAAAAAAGAATCTGACATTCCAGGGGAAAGATGTGAAACTAGACAACAGTAGATGCCGGTTCTTGCTAAGAGTAGAAAGAAATTCAACACCAGAAAAGGCGCCAGCAAAGAGATGGCGTGTAAGAGAAGACAGGACAGGAAAAGGAATTTTAAATGCATGGAAAAGTAGTCCCAGCAAAACAACTTGCGCAATGGCCCTGCGCCGGGAAGGAGCGTGGCCAGGTGGGCTGGAGCTGCCCTTGCGTCCCTTGCCGCCTCCCTGTTTATCCCCTATTTATCGGAACCGCATCCTTGGCAGTGGGCTTGGCTGAGGTTCCCGCCAATGTGCCCGGAAGCACTTCTCTCTGTTCCTAGTGCCGTTGCTACTCATGCGGCCTGCAATGTAGGATAACCAGCCTGGGGTTTTGCATCTGCTGGCCTTTTCGTTCAACCCATTTCTTGTAGGACCACAGAGAAATGATGTTTTCATAATACGAATCTTATTGTTTCCCTTCCTGACTTAAAAATCCTCAACATGTCTTACTGACAGGGTCCCTGCGTGCCTGTGTAAGTTAGGGGGAAAGAGACATGTAGCTAAAACAAGAGGGTTGAATGATATGTGAAATTTTCACCTCTGCCCTCGGGCCCATCCAGGCACTTGTACCAGCAGTTACAGGATGGACAGTGATTTGGGCCAGTGCCTGGGATCTGTGCCCGTGGATCAAACTGGCATGGGTCACGCGACTATGATCAACTTGACTAAATTCTGGTGCTTTTCTGAACCCCATCTTTAAGACAGGCCTTGACGTTGGGGCTTCCGTGGTTGTCTCTTCATTCTCCAGTTTGAACCAACCCCACCCCCCACTCTTGATGTCTGATCGTATCTCCCAGGTGATGTCTGCTCACCTTGGCCTCCGTTCAGCAGGAGATCTGTTGCGTTTGGGTAGCCGGAATCTCCCTGACCTCTTAGTAATGTTTCACAGTTGATGCCTGCCATGCTACTCCTTGAGTGAAGCCTGATCTGTCTGCAAAGCCATGGCACTGGCTCCCGCGCCATTCATGGTGGTCTGTAGCAGGTCAACCTCTGCTTCTTAGTAAGTGTCATGAGTAATTTCTGCTTTAACACCTGTTGTCCCAACCTGATGTCTGGTCTTGTCCAGCTTCAATGCTATAAAAATATTTTCACATTATTAAATGGTTAAGAAAAAAATAGAATAGCCTCATACTGCTTATTTATTTATTTACTTGGAAAGTCAGATTTGCAGCGAGGCGAGACAAGGCTACTGTGCTGGGCCCTAGCCCACTGTCCTCCTGTAAATCCGTGTGGATGACCAGGGAGGAGTATGATGAGGCGATTCGTGCTTGGTTTCAGGGAGACGGTTAGAGTGGATGGGGTGGGGTGGGATGAGTTGGTTTTGATTGTTTTTAGACTCTGAGCTTTTATCTGTGTTACACAATGGGATCCCAGCTGGGGCGGATGGAGAGTCAGTCCTAGGTGGGGGGTGACTGATGGCTATTTCAGCAGTGGCTGGATGCTTGCCAATCCCTTCCTGGGGCTGTTGCACTCCCGTGGGTCTGACTAGGTTTTAAGTTGGGTGTGGGGTGGCGGGCAGAGAATAGAAACAGGATTCCTGATTGGTTTGGACTGGAGGTGTGGGGGATGGGGAGAGTTGAATTTTCTAGTTTTCTAGGTCCCTGTGTGGCTGGGGGCCGTCCCTGTGGGCCTTCTCCACCTGCAGCCTTGTTTTATAGAAGCAAATAAACCTGTTGTTGTTTACTTTTTAAAAAAAAATATTATGTTATGATACAGTTCCACAGGCCTTGGAATTTCTTTCTTCTCCCCTTTTCTTAAGCCCTTTCCCCACTGACTTCCCCTATATTATTACAATAGTATAGTTCTTCACGAATATTCATAAGTCCATCATTCCACCATTGAAGTGTATTCTGACATTGTAGGCATGGACAGTAGCAGGGGGTCCAGCATCCTATTGTTAAGATATATTTAGCTTTCATTGGGAGCTCATCTTTGATTTGGAACTAGAGATACACACTGCACTGCGTCCTCACATCTGGATATGATAGTCTATTACACAGTTACTATACATCCCCTCTAAATACAAAACCATTAAACAAAGTTGACAACAGGAGGCAAGGTAGAAATTAAATCACATCCTACAGGATGACCTATGTGTTGAGAAAGAAATGAAAAAGAAAATCAAAACCTTGAAGGAACAAATGCTACTGTACTGAAGCTGCTGCAGTTTGCAGAGATGGCGTCCTGGGGCACAGCTGAAAGCCCGCCCTGCCTGTGCACCAGAGAGGTGCGATGGTAAGTAGCATAGAGCAACACTGGAAGAGGAACTGACAAAGAAACTGGTACATCTACTTCATGGGGTACTACTCAGCCACGAAAAAGAATGACATTTTACCATGTGCAATGAAATGGCCCCAAAGAGGGACCATTATGCTCAGTGAAAAAGAACAATCCCCCAAGGACAAATATCGTATATTCTCTCTCTAAGGCAACCTCCAAGCAAAATACAAATTAAATAGATATCTAAATAAATATGTATATACATATATTCTCATGGATGAACTATATAATGGAGACTAGCTTACCAGGAAGTGGATATACATTGCACTGTGCATCTCTACTCCCAAATAAACGAAGGACTCCCAATGAGAATCTCAAATCTACCTTGACAAGAAGATACTGGATTATCTACCATTGTCTGTATCTACTAAGCCATGATACACTTAAATAGCAGAATGTTGGACTTGTGACTGTTGCTGTTTTAATAATGGGGGGTGGAAGAAGGTGTCCTGTGCCTATGGAACCATATCAGAAAAAACAATCATAAAATAGAAAGCTGAATGAAACATTTGCCCCACCTGCTTTGCTCCACGCCCAATCCTCCCTAGCCTAGGCGGGTGCCCACATAGGCATGCATCCCTCCAGTGTAGGCAATACTGAAAAGGATCATGGCTTACACTGTAGAAAGAGAAGAGGCATATTACATTTATTTAGTCAAAGTTCAATCCAACACTGTGGCTGAAACAGTGAAGACCCAAAAAGCCAGAAGGAACTATTTCACACTTAGGCCTGGTGTAGAATGAACGGTGTAGAACTGTGACTGGGCGAAACGATATGATGCAAAGGCAACAGCCGGAAGAGAGAAATGCAGCAGGGTTGTGCTTCCAGATCCTTCTTGGTGCCTCAGAATGGCGTGCCTACCTCAAAGAGCCTGGGGTTCTGGCCCGAGCTTCTTCCAGAAGGCAGAGCTCCCTGTCTAGTGTGCATGTTTTGTTTTGGAAGAGTGTTCTCACTTTTACAATCTACCCTGGGGGGGAGGAAATCTGGTCTCTATGAGTCACGTTGCTTCAGGGGAGAAAGACGCAGGAGGTGGGAGGATGCAAGGTCAGGGGGCGGTCAGGCCTCTGGGATCTTGCCCATTTCCTTCACTTCAACCCCTGCAGTCTGCCCAGGCACCCTACACTTTGGGATGTCGCGCTCTGAGCCCCCAAACCAAGCCAAACAAGATTTAAAATATAGTATTTCGCTGAGTGCCCAGACTTCTAAAAATGTCTTGGCTGTGGAAAGAAAAAAACAGCAACTGCTTCGTTACCGTCTAATACATAGACTGTCAAATGATTTATAGACAGAAACATATTTGAAAGTTTCATCTGATATTTTATTTTTTTAAAAAAGATTATTTATTTTAAAGACAGAATGGGGGGGGGTGGGGAGAGAGATCTTCCATCTGCTGGTTCACGCCCCAGATGGCTGGAAGGACCAGCGCCTGGAGCCTGGAATTCCACCGCAGCATCCCCAGCGTGTGGCAGGCACCCCCACCTAGGCTGAGGTTCACTGCTCTCCCAGGCGCGTCAGCAGGGAGCTGCATCAGAAGCCAGGATTCCCACTGGGACACCAGCACCGCACGTGGTGGGTGGCTTGCCCCCTTCATGTGGTCGCTGGCTCGTAAAAAGATTTCATAATAAAATAAATTTCTATTTTTTTAATTGGTCACAGGCAAAAATGTTGATAATTTGCCTGTGATTTACCCAAAATTAAAATACTCCCCTAGTCCCAGAGTTGTTTATATTTAAAAGCAGGCTGAAAGTTGCTAAGCACTTGGAGATGAGTAAGCTTTCACGTTGTCCGGATTTCTTTGGAAAACCCTTTGCTATCGCCAGGACGCCAGAACAAAGCCGTGATCTTGCCCGACTGAGTGATTTATGTTCAGTTTGGTGATACTTTGTGCCCCAGGTTTATTCACTCCTGAGCCTGATTCCCGCGGGGACGAGGTGTGGGGGTCTGGACCTCACGTCCTGCGGTGCATGACTGGAACTTCACTTGGGCACGACCTACGCGTAAAAACGGCAACCCCGCTACGTGCCTCAGCTTCCCTACCTACAGAATGAATGAAAGGATGGGGCTTGTTGTCCAGCCTGAAGGAGATGACCCGCAGTAAGCGTTCAACGAAGACACGAGCTTGCCTTCAGCAGGGCCACTTGGCCTGGCTCCTTTACTTGCGAGTCAGTATAATAATAATAATGATGATAAAAATTATGTGGCATCAGAACGTGAGCGGGCAGGGGCCACGTGATCGCTCCACGGAAGCCACTTGTCGGGGGGCCCTCCCGAGAGTTGTTGGCAATTGAGCCGCGAAGGGGAAGGCAGGCGCGCCCGCTGCTGCCCGCTGCCGCCCGCGCCGTTTCCCGCCGCGCCCGCGTCCCCGGCGGCGGGCGGGCTGCGAGGCGCCCGGGCCGAGGCGGCGGCGGCGGCGGCGGCGCGAGCGGCGCCCTCGGGGCCGGTGAATCATCCGGGCAGACAGCGAGAGCCGCGGCAGCAGAGAGCGCCGAAACATGGCTGAAGCGGCCACGGGCTTTCTGGAGCAGCTCAAGTCCTGCATAGTTTGGTCTTGGACTTATCTCTGGACCGTGTGGTTCTTCATCGTGCTCTTCCTGGTCTACATCCTGAGGGTGCCCTTGAAGATCAACGACAATCTGAGCACAGGTGAGGCCGGGGGGGCCGCCGGGCCCGAGGCGCCCGCCCCTCCCCCGCCCCGCAAAGTTAGTGCAAACTCGCGCGGGGCCGCGGGCCGGGCGGTCACGGGCGCGCGCCTGGCGGGGAGGGGAGCGCGCCGGGCCCGCGCCCCGTCACCCCGCGGCCGCCCGTCCGCCCGGGGGGGGACCGCCCGTCCGCCCGGGGCCGCGGCGCCTCAGGTGGCAGGGCCCGGGAGGCCGCCGGCCTGCCCTGCTCGGCGGCCCCGAGGAGGAGGAGGAGGAGCCGCGCACGCCGCCAGGCAGGCCTGCCGCTGGCGACGGCTAGGTGGCCGGATGCGGCCGCCGGCTGCCGCCCTCCGCCGGTGCTCGTAGGCCCGGGGAGGCAGGAGGACGCGAGTTCCCGGCGGCGTCCCCCGTGAGGGCTCAGCGCCTCGAGTCGCCCCGGTCCTCCCTCACAGCCTGCCTGGCCGCGGGCGCGGAACGTCCGACGTGTCAGCCGCCGGGCAGGCTCCCCCGCCCGGGCCCCCCGTGACCCCGCTGCCGGGAGCCGGGCTGCCCCGTGGGGCCCCGAGTGACTCCTCGCGCGGGGGGTCGGGGAGAGGGGGCCCGCGGCGGCCCGAGATGTCCCCGGGAGGATGCTGACGTGTCAGGTCTCGGCCGCGCTCGGCGGAGAGTGGAAGTGACCTCCGCCGGAGCCCGCACAGCCGCGAAACGGACCCGCGGGCAGCGCTCCCGGCCCCCGCAGCCCTTTCCACCTCACCCGGGCGGAACCGCGCGCCCCTCCGCCACACTGAGACCGCTCAGTCACAGCACGCCTCTTTGGAAGGAAGGAAGGGTGACAGTCTGTTAGTTGGGACACTTCAGGTAGACAGGCCGCCTTTTTTTTTTTTTTAATTTTAGCTTCATGGAACTCTGGGAAATCCTTGCACTGAGTCCTGTTCTGTGTTCGCATACCCTGGGAGTCCAGGTCTTTTCTATGGCGTTAACTGCACCAAGACCCTTCTTGGGACGTTGCCGATGAAGTTTTAATGTTGGTAGGGACTTGTGGTCTATCAGGTGGTAAATTTGAGCATCTGGGTGACTTTAGCCTGCACTCACAGGAGTGGTTAGGTTTGTTTCACAGTATCTCTTCGTTAGTATCCCTGAAAGGCAGGTGAAAGTGTGCGCCTCAATTAGTGTCATTGTCTTCATACGCGCAGCTCAGCCTTTGGATTCAATCATCCCAGAACCTGTAGCTTTTTGGGGGGTTTTCTCAGGGTGCCTGTCACAAAATATTGTCCTCTTTGCTTTAGACACATCCCTAAGACACCTTTGAATCCCAAAGTCCTGCTGTTCAGTTGTTTGAATATTGTATTGTAGTGGAACCAAGCACTTAAGTGGGTTTGCTTATTTTCCTCCTAAAAATACCCTTGTAAAAAATGCGACTCCTTAAGATGTCGTTTGTGTTTAACTCAGAACATACATTTGTGTCCCACATTTTCATTTTTTTTCTTTAAAGATGTATTTACCTAAAGGCAGAATTCCAGAATAGGAGAAAGAGAGCTTGCAGCTGCTGGTTTGCTCTGCAGGTGTTTGCAATAGCCAGGGCCGGAATATACTTAAGCCAGGAATCTCACGTGTGTGGCAGGGCTGCAAGCGCTCGGGCCGTTCTCGGCTGCTTTCTCCAGGCCACCAACACGGAGCTGGATCAGAAGCGGAGCAGCTCGGCCTCAAACGGATGGCTGTGCGGGATACTGGCACGCAACAGCTCCACTTGCTGTCCTACGATGCTGGCCCCCCACATTAAAGTAGGTTTTCTTCATATAGGTTTGTTCCTGTGCTTTGCGTAGAGGTGCTTTATCTGGAATAGGCAGGACTGGAAAAAATGGATAGTTTTTAAGGAGGAAAGCAGTAGGTCTTGTTCCAGCTACTTGAAATGTAGCGTGTTCTTCGAGACCTTTGTCAGTTTTTTTGCAGGTGTATTTCTCATTCCAACTTAAAAAGAGAAAAATCTGAAGGTGAACGGGCGGCCTGGCTGCTGGCGGTGCCTCAGTAGACACGTGAGGAGGAACCTGCGGCTGTCTTCTGGGTGATGCTGCGCTTCTGTTTTCAGTGGCTTTATGCATATTTTAGTCATAAAGGAAGATAAAAGGAGAAGCACCCCATGAGCAAACACCTCTGCTATTTCAGGGGGGATGTGTGTGTTGGGGGAGGGGCCGCGGGCACCATGTCTGAGAGGAGGAATGATGGCAGAGCAGACAGGCTCAGGAGGCAGTGGTAGACGGCGGAAGGCTTTTCTCTTCCCTTTTAAGTGAAAGTGAGAAATTGTAGTTAGGAAAAGTGCCAGAAGATTGCTGTCAATATAATAATTCCCTCTTCGCTTTGCCGACTCCCCTTCCTCTTGGGAATACATTTTCACACTTTTAAGATACTGAGGGAGGGGGGAAGGCCTTGGGAGGGAAGATGAGGAACTTGCTGGTTTGTGCTCTCGGGGGGGCCTGGAAAGGGACTGCTCCATGACTGCTCTTGTCCTTGCAGGGAAATAAATAGACCTAAACGTGTTTTTTTTTTAATTTTTAAAGAATTTTTATCAATATTTCCTATCTCTCTGGTTTTGTATTTATGTGTTGCCTGATTTTTTGTTTTTTTAAGAAGTTATTTATTGGAAAGACATTTACAGAGAGAAGGGCGGAGAGAAAATCTGTGGATTCGCTCTCGAAGCAGCTGCAATGGCTGGAGCTGAGGAGTCAGGAGCTGTTTGAAGGGTCTCACGTGGCTGGAGGCTTCCAAGGCTTTGGGCCATTGTCCACTGCTCTCCCAGGCCACAAGCAGGGAGCTGGATGGGAAGTGGAGGAGCCGGGACATGAACCGGTGGCCATAGGGAATGCTTGTACATGCAAGGAGAGGATTCATCCATTAGGTATTGTGCCAGGCCTGAGAACTAAATTTAAAAGAGAAAAGTATTTAGTTGGGAGACGGAGGGACATTCAGAGCATGCCTGCTCTGTTTCACTTCCCAAATGCCTGCAATGACCGAGATTGAGGGGATACTGCGCCGGTTGAAGCCAGGAGCTGGGAAATCAAGTCACAGGTGGGTGGCAGGAACCAAATTTCCTGAGCCATCACCTGCTACCTATTAGTCTCGTTAACAGTAGCTGAGCTGAAAATTAAATCCAGTTACTTCAGTGAAAAGTGTTGGGCATCATAACTGCCATATCAAATTATCAAGTGTCCATGCCCTAAACAGGTGTGTGTGTGTTTTTAAGATTTTATTTGTTTTTTTATTGGAAAAGCAGATTTAATAGAGAAGAGTCAGAAGGGTCTTCCATCTGCTGGTTCACTCCTCAAGTGGCCACAATGGCTGGAGCTGAGCCGATCTGAAGCCGGGAGCTTCTTCCTAGACTCCCATGTGGGTGCAGAGTCCCAAGCCTTTAGACCATCCTTGACTGCTTTCCCAGGTCACAAGCAGGGAGCATGTGGAAGGTAAGGATTTTAGCCACTGAGCCATCATTGCGCCAGGCCCCTACGTGGATTTTACTGAGACTAATCTTGCTACTCCTGGGCCCTGTGGCGCTTGCTCTTCCTATGACAAAGGCACAGGGGTGCCTGGTGAGGCTGTTGAATCTATAGGAATCTGTGGGTAGCCAAGTGCCCTTTCTTGAGGGAAAAACAAGGTAGCCAGGTGGGCTTCCATGATGCAGTCACCATTGGTGCACCTGTGAGGATGGGGGGGTCTGGTAAAAATTTTCCAAGTTGTTCTTGGGTACTAATTGGAATATTTTCAATATGATGGTTACCTGTAGTGATTTTAAAATTCCTAACTTCATTTGAGAATGTTTTATGGTAAATGTGCTTAACTTGATTTTTTTTTCCAATTTTTTGAGTGCCACCTCTTCATTTTGCACTGTGACAGGCAATACATTGCAAAGTGGTACACATTTGTAAAACTCACTAAAGAGTTTAGAACATAGCTGCAATCGGTCATGATGTCAGGTGTGTGAGATAATAGGAAATTCCCTTGAATTGCACCTCGGAGGATGAGGGTAATTCCTCGGCTTTGAGTTGGGCTGCAGCTCAGTGGAGCTCACAGACCAAGGTATGAGGATGTGAAAAGGCTGGGCAGTCTTGGAGAAGTGTGAATGTGTGGAATTGAACGTGAAACAACAAAAGAAAAGGACTTCAATGAACAGATTTTTTGGCCGTTCCGTCATGGAGTTTCCCAAGTAAAACTACTTCCAAGGTTGTTTTTGCAATGTGCTTGGGTTTCGTTGTACAACTTCTCTGTTATCACCTGCTTGCTCTGTTTGAATTTTGTTGATTTAGGACAGGGATTTAACTCGAGTATCGAGCTACTGGTAGACCACACAGAGACAGACTTTACGGAAACAACCGTATCTTGTGATGAAAAGACATTTTTGAAAAAGGGGGAGGGCTTGGGGAAAGACATACTTTGGATAGTACATACTGGTTAACTTTGGTAATTGTTTTTTAATGCCTTGAGTTGGAAAAGAGTTTAAAATGTTTTGTAATCTACTGAAAGTGGAATGAATTTTAATAAGAAAAAATGCCTTATAACAAGATAAAATAAACTTCGTTACTTGTCATTGTTCAAGCGAATCAGTCTCCTAGAACAGTGTTTTTCCAGAGACAGAAAGTTAATTGTAGGTTGAAGCAGCCATGCAAGATATTATTCAGGAAAAAAGATTTGTCCAAAAAGATAATACCATGACTTACTTTGTAGTGTGGTGTTGGTAGAATTTTTTCTTACCCTGGGCTTTACAGTCTTAGATTTAAAATACCTCCGTGGGGCAGGCACAGTTGGGGTGCTAGCAACCTATTTTGGACTGTCTGGGTTTCAGCGCTGGCTCTTACTCTAGCTTCCTGCTAATTTGCTCTCTATGAGAAAACAGGTGATAACTGAAATACTAGGACCCCTCTACCCCTTGGGAGACCCGGATAGCTGACTGTTGGCTGCAGCCTGATCCTGCCCTTGCTGCCGTAGGATTTGAGCCAGTGGATAGAAATCTCTGCG